TCTCTCTCTCTCTCTCTCTCTCTCTCTCTCTCTTTTAATTGTGTCTCTCTCCGATTCTAGCAATCGAGGTGGAAAGAGAGATCATAACGGTTTGGATTCTACTTTAATCTCTTTGGCTTCTACATACAGAGAAACTATGAAAAAATCTGGGAATATCAAGTGGCGGGAAGTTCACCACAGCTGACAACAGACTGAAATGTACTTTCGATATCGAAAACAACAATACACTGTGTACAGTACTGTACAGACAACTTCTACTGGAGGGGTAGTTGAGGTTTTAGATCTATTTGTATCTGTATTTTCAGTTGGCCCAATGAATGAATGCGATGAACAGATATAGCTCTGCAGGAAACCCATCATTTAAAATAATAATATAGATCTAGAATCTAGATCTCGATCTAATAAGCAGTGCATCATACGGTGTAGATTTCTAGATCTACTTTTTAACGTAAATTGTTTGTTAGGACTTTAGGCTTTAGGCTAACGAACGGAAAAAAAATCACCAGGTCTAAGTGACTCTTTCAAACGTCTTACGATTTCTAGATTCCTCTACTTTTTATCTGCCGCTCAGTTTCCTCACTGTCCTCTTTCTTTCTGTTTCGTCTCCCAATAATAGACAGGTTAGTACACGCTGAGTGAGAAGAGAGCAACATTCGGTGATCTTGTACTTGTAGTTCCGTTCGTTAAAGTCCACGATCCATTTGTTTACATCCAGAGAAGAAATACAGAAGTCTTGATGACCAAATACCATTTGAAATAGGCTACACATAGAGCAGGGATGCAACCTAACTGCAAAACATGTTTATTTTTTGTTCCACAGTCTTTGAAGCTGCACATGCCTCGATGGATTTTGTCAAACAGGATGACGACTTTCTCAGACGTCTGCAGCACATCGAACTAACAAACAATAGTTGCAAAAGCAAAGACCCCTCCAGGATGGCTGCCTCTCTGAGGAATATGTATGCTCATTTTGTGGATACTCCTTTGAGTGATAAGAGAAGGTTTGTGCCACCCAGAGCTGTGTTTGATCAGCTGGAGTATGAAAAATGGAACTTATATATATTATATATAATAAATAACAAAATATAAAATGATATTTGCATATATTATATATAGTGTGTATATTTTATTTATATCCATGCTGAACAGCATTCTCTATGGGCTTGACAACTGTTATTAGGCTACCCCAGCAGATCCTAGAACACTCAAAGAAATATTCCCGGCTTCTCGGGAAGCGTACTGATTACGCATGCTCTGAAACAATTACAAATTGACAAGGTCTTTCGCTGTCTAGAGCTGAGTATCCAGTCCAACCTGGATGAAGGGAAGAGAATTCGTGTAAAGTGCCTTTCTCAAGGACACAACCTTGGGGGGGAGGAGGGCGCGGAAATCAACCATTAGAAACACATAGATTATGTGACTAACTCTCTGGCAAAAAAAAGTGTACATAAAAATGAAATTCTCTCTATCAACAAGTTGGTTTTTTTAGGGAAGCAAGTTTTTAACACTTTTCACCCACGCACCGTGCAGAGCGCGCAACACTTATCCCCATGGACCAGGATACAGGTGCGGTGCATGCTATATATATATGACACAGGTGCCAATTGGCGTCCCGCGGGGAAAAGGGACGGCTTCTTACCGTCGCCGATCAGTGTCCTGTGGGGGCATAGTGTAGTGTTTATTCCTTTTTCATGTTGAATTGGTACACACACACACACTCACACACACACACACACACGCACACACACATCCTGTCTTGTGGGGAGCCAAGAGGTTTTAGTCGGAGCAGTTTTCACCTCAGCTTACATATCTGTGTTGTTCTTTTCTTCTCCAAAGCTCAATGGTAATGATCTGTGAATCAGAAAGGTATCTTGAAAAGTATGCAGAAGTGATAGATCAGATGGATGGGACAGGACTCAATAATTATGCAGAGGCGGCCTTAGCCCTGTGCAGTCATCACAAAAATGGTAAGATTGCATTCAACATTGTAGAGTGTCAAAATTTTGAAAAAATTAAACTCAAGCATGTTGCAGTTTCATGTGGCGCATTGATTGATTCTAGTCTCATTCCTCATATTAACCCTTAAAACCGCGAGGGTTTTTTTTTCTATTCATTTGCTGTGTCTTTTATTGTTGTAAGATTTTACTGAAACTTGAAATGTTATAAATTATAATGCACAGTCTGGACAAAAGGAGGAAAAGTTAAATCTCTGCTTTTTAGGACCAACTCTATATGAGTAAAGTCTTGCATGTGATCCCTGACTATACTACAGTCAAAGCATCATTAGACCCAGACGTAGATCTAGCCTCTGGCAGCTCAAGTGGTGATCCCCTGCCATTTCCACTATCGTCAAAATCATCATCGATGTTTTGAGCAGCATTGTAATCGTTTTCAACAGTCATACCTATCGATATATCCGACTGGGAAATTATCATCGGGGTCTGGTTCATTATCGATACTCTCTGCTTGAGACGGGGTCATCTGGAGTTACATCCCCTGTTTCTAGCACTGGGAATTAAAGGATAAAGTTGACCATCGGTTACTAGCGGTAGGAAAATGTCAGCGGTTACCAGCAGTATAGGGTTTTAAGGGTTAAAATAAAATAGTTACAGATTTAGACAAATTAAATATTTCGTTTTGCACGATACATAATAGAGGGAATGACTTTTCCAGAGTAAAAGGTTTTTGTTTCTCAACACCCCCCCCCCCAAAAAAAACAAACAAACAAAAAAACAAAAAAACAACCCACAACGACCCCCCCCCCTCCCCCTCTCGTATTTTGACATGCGACAGATGAATAACAGCAACGAGTGTTTAGTTGGTCTCTTTTACTTCATCTTTGGAGTGAGGGCCTTCTGAACCTACAGGATCTTTCAGTCTGAGCTTCTGTAGGTCAACTGCTAGATTTACACCAGCACACGCAGTGGGATGTGTTGGAGTGAGTTTGGGGATGTGTTGGGGGATGTGTTCTGGGGTATGTATTGTAAAAGGATGAAGGTGAAGCACATTCAGATGTGCGCTTGAGTCTGTATGGAGAAAACAGCTGTTGTTTGTTTCAGTTTAGTTTTAGTAATAAAATTTTACGGTATTTGCAACACATATAGGTCATATAAGTGCTGAAAATTACAGGCTTTACTAGTGATAAACGTACAAAGAAAAGAAGGAGGACCGATAAAGAATGATACATGTTTAACAGGAAAGAAGGAACAGAGCACCCTAGAGCAGCTGCCAACCACCCACAAACAACTAGGGTGTTATTGCGAGGTTTTTGAACAGTCCTCTAGAGTAGTAGGGAGGGATACCGTTTTGTTCCATTTTTTGAGGGTGTGTTGTTGTTGTTGTTGTTTTCTTTTGTTATTCGGTTAATTTCACCAAAAGAACACTAATTATTCTTAGATTTTATTTTATGTTTAAGCCTAAGTTGTGACACTTAACCTTCTTTTGTTTGCAAATGAAACCTGGTATTGGTATATTTAGAGACGCTGTTGAAGAGGACCTTTGACCTTCCAAAAGGTATTTGTGGAACTGAGAATATTTGCTTTACTTTCAGAGAGCACAAAGTGGAAAACTCATTTGACTGGCGAGAGCATTTTGCGAATGTGTGAGCTTGATGACGATGAAGAGGTATGGCCATACAGTCCAACACACACGTAGCGAAATCAGTGGGACACCAAATATGTTCACTATGTGCTTGTTTTAAAATACAAAGAATATATATACATGTATAAGAAAAAATTTGGGACCTGAACATCTGTTTGGTATGGGCATGTTTTGCCATGTATGTGCTATACTGTATCTGTTCTCATGGAAATATTCCCTGACTCGCTAAATGGTTACTTAATTGAAAAGAGAGTGGAGGTTTTTAACCATTCCAATGTCTCAAATGATGCACACAAGAGTGGGAAAACATGTAATGAGATCAACAGGCTTGCTTAGGATAGGGAAAGTGGAAAATTTTTGTTTATTGGCTTATAAATACCTTGATTCAGGGGTAGAAAGGCAATGATGATGATGATTTTCTCAGATCACACCAAATAACCTTTCTGCAGTTCAGAGACGTGGAGTTTATATTGCTTGTCTGTAGTGTGTTCCGTGGGAAAACACATGTAGACATATATATACGACTTCCATCAGCTGAATCTGATGACACAACTTTTCTCAATGTTTCACAGAGACATTTTGGGGGGAAGTTTGGTTTCTCTACTGATTGTTCACGGAACATTTTTTAAAATGGAAAATTAAGAGTTGTGAAAGTTGTAGTTGTGATCTGAGCAAAGATGGAGAAAAACATGAATAGGTTTAATGACCACTTTTCTTTTTTTACAAAATAATTTCTTTGCTACTTTGAAACAGAATTGTTGTAATAATAAGATAAGATAAAATAATACTTTATTATCTCAGAGGGAAATTTTTCTTGGCTGTACAGGACCGTAAAAACACAAGCAGGTATACATAGAAAATTTAAATTATATACTATTCTCATTAAAATTTAATATGAAAAGAGAAGTAAAGCTGACAAAATGTACATTCACATCAGATACATCATTCAACTGCTTGCAGGAATTTAATTACAAGACCTTTGTTTGTTTGTTTAGTATAGGGTTTTACGGCGCTCGCAACTGCATAAGGTCATATGAGCGCGCGGGACACACCTAATACTTTTTTGTTGGTAGGAAATTTTGAATTTTGCCCGGGTGGCGGCCGAAGCCTACTCTTATCGATTTTAGACCACCAAGGGATCTTTAACGTGCGCAACTTGCACACGGGCCCTCCAAGATTTTTCGCCCTTGTCCGAGAAGGCTAGGTGTAGATCTTTCCTACCAGAAGATCAGGGGTGTGGCAGAAAGACAGCAGTTAGGAGGAGCCAAGGAGTAGCAGTAGAAAGGCTGCAGAAAGAGTCAGGAGCCCAGAGGAGGGGGCAAAGGAGGTGAGGGGGTGGGGGCAGAAAGTGGAAATGAAAGCAGACAACAGAACATTGTTAGAGATCAGGAAAGGATGTGAAAGGAGACAATTTTAGAGAAGAAAATTTTTTGGTCGCTACCCGGAATTGAACCCGGGACCTTTGAATGAGAGGCCAACACCTTAACCTCTAGGCCACGAGAGCCCCACAAGACCTTTGTAGTTATATATAGATACATACTCTAAAGAGCAACACATATCTATGCTCATTCTGACAAAAGCCTTATGGTAGATGGTAAAAAACTTCTTTTATATCTTTGTTTTTGGAGGTACATATCTGCTGCTGCGGGATCTTAAAATTTTCGTGGAAAGGGGCTGTGATGGGTAGTTTATAATGCTTTTTATCTTGTTTATACGTGTGGTGTTATAATACATTGCATCAATTCTAGTAAAATCATGTCCAGAGCTCTTGCTCGCTTTCTTAATGGTTCTGTCAAATTTTTCTTTATCTTCCACCTTACAATTCCCTCCCAACAAGCAAATACAAAATAATAGCACACTTTCAATCATAGAATGATATAAAAGGGACATAATCTTATTATCAACACGGAAACTTCTTAATTTCCTTAATAATAAGATTATGTCCCTTTTATACCATTCTATGATTGAAAGTGTGGTATTATTCATTTGCAATGATAGTTCAACGGAGCAGTGCCACTGACTGTAGTGTCTTTAGGCCATTCCCAAAGGGAGGACATTTTTCGTTCAAGCATAGTAGAATTGTAAATGGGCTGACTCATGTCACGCTCATAACTGTGCCTGTTCTACAACAGGGAACTGCTGCTTTTTCTTTCCTGATCCTTACTGTTGTCATTTTCCTCTACTTCTTTTGTATGTTTGTCACTCTCTTGTGACTTGCTATTTCCGGGGTGCCTTGATAGTCGAAGCAGACCTTGTGCTATTGATTGAAACTGGAGAGGTGAGCAGAATAAGTCTGATTCCCTGTAAAGACTTCTCTGTTGACACCCACCCTTTGGCGATCATATGACCTAATGCAGTTGGGATGCAGTAAAAACCTCTACCATAAAAAAGAAAGAAAAAAGACCATTTTTTTCCCCAGGCTGATTCTGGGGATTTTGATATTGACATTACTATTCAAGGCCTGAAAGAAAAATGTCCGAGCAATTTCCCAGGTAAAATCGTAGTTTTTAGCTTCTGTCCTAATGTTTTATGTGTTAGCCATAGGAAAGTTTTGGTTTTTGTGCTTAGTTAACCAATATGTGTATTGTAATATTTTCACGGTCGTCACATGCAAAATAGAATTCCCCTTTGTGAATAATAAAATGTGAGTGTGCTTGGTGAAAGGTACCAAAAGACCCATTTGTTCAGACCGAGATATCAGGCTTCAAAGTCAAAAAAAGATTTTTTGACGAAAACTAAAGTTCCTTTAAAAATAGATTCTTTAGCCATTAATGTATATCGATATTTACAAGGACTTGAGTTTCTTTTTCTATAAAATACAATTTTAAAGATGTTCTTTTAACAAGAGGTATATTGTGAAATCTCCAAAAATGCGTGAGAAAATTGGTTTTCCGAGTAAGCACTGTGGATGGTTTCTCTCGTCCATTCATTAAGTCGACCCAATCACGTTGCATACCAAAATTTAGGTAATTCTCTCCCCTCTCTAAAGGCGGGTAGTGGGCATGAATATCTAGAACATGTAAACAAAGCCAATTTTGTGCATCCATACCCTTTCATCTTTTTGGAGAGCAAACTTGTATCGCCTATTTCTGCTCAGCGCAAACCTAGATCTATAATTTCTTGAAAATTCTTGCTCAATGTGGTGGTGAATTTGTTTTAAAGACGTAAAAAAACGCTTTGAAGCTGTTCTTTTAATCAAAACTTTTATCCTAGCTGCTTTTTAAAGTTGGTTTGTGAGTAGTGAATGTGTTGTCAGGTCATATCGAAGCGTAGATCTATCTATTTGAAGCAGAAACAAAGGGGAAATTTTAAAGCCGTTTTTCTCAAAACTTTGGTTCCGTACCCTGCCTTACAAAGTCACCCATATCTCAAAAACTACTGCAGATATCTTAAAAATTCAAAAAGCATATTGTTCAGAAATGATCTCTGTACCTGAAAATGCAAAAAAAAACCCGGGATTCTTCAAAATGCTTTATTTGGTACCTTTCACCAGGCACACACACGAATTCTTTTGTCTTTCTGTTACCTTTTATGTTTCTCAGATATTGCATCTGTGTGAAGTAAATGTCTTGTTTAAAAAAAAGCATTTAGAAATTATAAGTATAAAACTTCAGTCATATCATGACCGATACAAGCTTTTCAGTAATTATCAGGTATAAGGAGAATAACATTATTTTGTGTGTCCTTCCAACGACTATTCATCTGTGTGCATCTGTGTGCATCTGTGTATGTAATTAAAAAAAAAATTTTTTTGTGTGTTTGTGTATGCCCGTGTGTGTGTATGTGTGTGTGCCTGTTTGTCAATGAGTGTTTGTGCATTCCGCAACAAGTTATCTTTGTGGCGATCAATAGAATCTTATGTTTTCTCATCTTACAGCTGCAGGCAGAAAACAAGTTACTGGAGGATCTACAGAACCAAGACAACACCCTGGAGGGGCTTCTTTGTTTCCTGACAGCAATGTTCTTCCTCCCATGAACAATAGGGTTCGAACCTCTGACAACCACCACACTTCAGAAACCCTTGGCCGACGTGGATCAAACCCATCTGTCTTTAACAACTCCACTGCTGTGCAAACGTTTGGCCGACACAAATCTGACCAGTCCCCCTTGAACAGTAGTAACACCCCTGACAATTCAAGGTCATCAATGGGCCTGCTCCGAGCAAAAGCTTTTCACTTCAACAATTCCGAGAGTCCCGACAACTCGACATTGTTGGGTCAACAACAGAGGTCAAACCTACCGTACGGAAACAGTGACCGGAGCGGGCCGGCAGTGCCGAGCACAAGGCCTCACACAGCCTGGGATTCTGGTCTGGCCGTCCAGCGAGAGGAAAGATTTTTTCATTCTGAGTCGCCAGCGACAAACAGAGTGATGGTCAATGCACAAGTAACTGCGTTCAATTTTATCTTGAATACTTTTAGGACGGGGGATTTGACCCTACCCATTCCTATCAACTAGCATTTTTGTGTTTAGTAGATCTGACAAAATGTGCAGTTTTTACATTTTAAGGTTAACTATTATTGGAAACAAGCAGGAGAAAAGCAGGAGAAATGCAATTTGCCTTTACAGTTCTTTCTTAGTCATCATTTCCGCCGTTGAAATGTTTCTACATTTTAATAATGTTAACCAGTAAGTCACATATCCAAATGTAATGAGAGACACAAGTGGAAGTTGTTGTCATTGAATGTGGTGCGTAATGCTCTCTAGTGATGCTGTCTTATCTTTCCCGCAGAAAGTTGGCGGACCGTATGCGAACTTTGGTCAGAAACGGAAATGTCCAGATCAAGCTGTGGAAAAGGTACAACAAGTTTTATTTTAATTTTTCAAGTGTATTTCATTTTTCTCTTACAACACAAGTCTATTTTTAGCCCTCACTCCCCTGTGGCCCTCATAGTACGGGAGTCTTTGACTCCTCAGGCACAGCAAATACTGATTTTGTATCCTAATTTTTTTTTGCACACATAAAAAAAAAAGATTCTATATTGCTTTAGTTTGAAATTTGAGAAAATATCTTATATCCTTTTAGTAAGGAGTTGAAGGGTGTACGATGCTGAGAGCAGGAAACTTGTTTGTTGAACTCAAAAGAGCTGAACATTACTGTATTTTGTACCCTCAGGGCAACAGGAAATATCCCAGAAATTCCTTCTCCTGTGCAGAGGACGATGAGGAACCGTACAACCAGGGCCCTAACGAGAATGCCCACACCACCCCTTTCCGAACGGCCAAGCAGCAGTTGGTGAGTTAATGCATTGTCACTTGTGTGTGTCATTGTGTGTGTTGCTGTGTGTCATTGTGTATGTTATTCTGTGTGTCATTGTGTATGTCATTTTGTGTGTCATTGTGTTATTCTGTGTCTCATTATGTACGTCATTCTGTGTGTCATTTTTTTTCATTCTGTGTGTCATTGTGTGTGCCTTTGTGTATAATTGTCATTTTGTGTGTCTAGTGTCTCACTGTGTGTCACTGTGTGCGTCTGTCTGTGTCATTGTGTGTGTTTTTATTTCTCTATTTTCTTTTGCAAATTGTGTTTTCTCTACATTATAATGACATTGTCCTGCATGACCACCTGTCTTAGATGAATTCTTCTTTCCTCAACAATGGATGGTTGTCTTGGACAGGTTTGACTATACAAATGATGCTGATACTCTCTGTTTTCAAAGTTCTTTGTGTTTTTACTCCTCGTTGTATTTATGGTGGTGGGTTCCTGATTGTGGCAGGGAATGTTCCCTCAACTGTAATGTTTTGTCGCCGTCGTTCACCATTGTCATTGTCGTATTTCTAAATTTCAATGAAAGTCAAATATGTTGTTGTTGAGTTTGATGAGGAGCATTGATTGGTCCTTGTCTCATTCCTTTTCTTATACTTAAAATAGTAATGGATTCAGAGAAATTCCACATTTATTATTTACTTGTTGTCTGGCCTGAAGTAAACAACTTTTTTACTTCTTATTCTGAAAACCTGGTATTTTGATGTATGGTGAATGATGGTCATGGTTTGTACTGTTACGGTCTACATCGTGTGGGCAGTTCTAGTTGATGAGTGGGTGGTTGGCGGGTGCTCTAGTGTGGTTTGCTTCTTCTTTCCTATGAAACATCTATCGTCCTTATCTCCCCTTCTTCTGTCATAAATTTGTTGCTCCCTTGTAACTCCTCTAATCTTCTAGCGCTCATATGACCTAATGCAGTTGCGAGCGCCATAAAACCTGTACTAAAACTAAAAAACTAGTTGATGAAATGATCATCTTGAGCAGGTTTGGCTGAATTTAATGCCTACACTCTCTCTTTTCATATGTCTTTGTGTCTTTACTTATTATGGTATTGTGTTGGTAGAACCGGGGTTGTAGCTGGCAATGTTCCTCCACAACTGCACAACAGACTTTACTTTATGTTTTATGTTTATGCTGTGTTGGCTCTACATTGTCACTGTGTCCTCAGGTCATTGATCAACAGAAGAAGAACAACCACGGGCATGGAGGAGACCGGTCCCACATCACGGGCACCAGTTACGGGGCGGTGAAGAAGTCTCTGGGAACCAGGTGGGTCATCTGGGCAGGCAGTTTTGTCACACGAATCTGTGTAGCAGCTTCCCTGGTTGATGGCGTGCCATTTGTGTGACATGTCTTCTTTAGCTTTGTTGTTGGGGTCACATTTTTATCTTTTCCTTGTGGGTGGTTGGTGGGTGCTCTGGTGTGGTTTGCTTCTTCTTTCCTATCAAACATCTATTGTCCTTATCTCCCCTTCTTCTTTTTTATGATTGTTACTCTCTTGTAACACCTCTAATCTTCTAGCGCTCATATGACCTTATGAAGTTGCGAGCGCTGTAAAACCTCAACTAAAACTATCTTTTCTTTGTAGGCCTACTTACTGTGTTGTCCATTACCGTGTGGACTGAGCAACAGGGGGGGGTGTGAACGTCTGTACCCTCAACAACATGCCCGTTCACACGAAGGAATCTGGGATGAGTTCTGTCTCTGCAGTTCTCGATAGCTTTACTGAACTGGCTATTTACTTGGTCTCTTTTCTCTTACTGTAATGTTGGATACAAGCGAATATTGAAGCAAATTTATGGAGATTTGAAACTCGCAGCATACAATAACACTAACTCACTCACATGCACACACACATACACGCACACACGCATGCTCACACTTGCACACACACACATGCACGCTCACATGCACGTATGCTTGCACACCCTTGCACACACACACAGTCATAAAGTAATACACACACAGTGGATGGTTGGCCGGTGCTCTGAGATGGTCTGCTCCTTCTTTGTTATCAAACATCTATCATCTTTATTTCTCTCTTTTTTTTCCTTTTCGGTATGCCACTCTCTAGCAATACTTTTAATCTTGGCTACTTCTATGACCTAATTGTGGTACTGGTGCGGTAAAATTCTTACACAAATGAAAACTAAACATTTATTTTTCTATTCTAAGGAGAGGTCCGGCCAGCAAGTTTGTTCCCCCAGTGTTGAGCAGGGACTCGGACGAGTAAGTTTTAGCGGTCGATCTTGGTGTGACCAACTACACATGTGTCATCCCATGCGTCTTGATCTTTCTCTACTTTGTCTTCCCCTTTTCCTACATTTGACACGCCCAAAATCATTCAGGTTTTTTTTCATTTGACATGGTTTTTGAGTTGAGTTGTGTATTAAGTTTTGAATTAATTTTTGTCTTGGTCTTGGAGCTCGTAGAATTGTTTTGTAACTTCAGTCTCGTCTTATTTTCAACACACTGAATGTATTTTTTTCCAGTCTTCTCTGTTCTATGTCCCTGACATATACCTGAGTAACACACGAAGCAGACAGTGTATACTTTACCGAAAAAAAAAGAAAAAAAACCCTCAGAAAGTTGAAAACTTGCATAAACTTGTTGACCACTCTTGTCAAAGTGTCAAATGTCTGGCAGGAATGACTTCCCCTCGGAAGTGACGAGCCGAGCAGGTGCGGGGTTCAAACCTCAGGGTCCACAGACGTCTGTGCCAGAGGAAGTGGAGGACGAAAGGCTACGTGGCATTGACCCGAAAATGATCGAACTGATCAATAATGAGGTAAGCAGGCTGTTTCTGGTGTTTGTTGTTGTGGGCTTTTTTAAGGTAAAAGAAAGGTATATAAGTCACAGACATGCATGCACGTACGCACGCACACACATATGCACACACACACACGCACACACACACGCACACACACACGCACAAACACACGCACACACGCAAAACTTTATCCCCTCCTCCACCACCTAAAGCTCAAGTGTCCCTCCTTTGAAAAGAGATATTTTGATCTAGAAGGGCACAACATTTGTAAGCCCCCCACCCCAAAACCTGAAACAGTAAAACTTGCCTTGAGCCTTCAAAATATGTCCTGTGGTAAAGCTCAGCATTGTGCTGTGGTATGACTCCCTTCAGATCACGTAGGATGCTTCGTTAGCTTCATTGGTATCAAGCTGGACTACGGAGCAGATGACCCTGGTTCAAATTCCAGACTGTACTTTCTTGAACTCGGATTGTTTCGTAAAGTTTTCAAGCCTCTCTACCCACTTGACTTGGTATTGTTAAAGATGGATGATATATTAGGAGGTCCTGCCTAATAGTGTTTATAAGGGCGTTAAACCCATGCACTTTACCTTTACTGCAGATCATGGACCATGGCACCAAAATCACGTGGGAGGACATCGCAGGGCTGGACTTTGCCAAGAAAACCATCAAGGAAATAGTTGTGTGGCCGATGCTCCGACCGTGAGTGTTCACCCACCGGCTGGAAGCTGTTATAGTTCACCATAGTGTTATAGTTCACCATAGTGTTATAGTATAGTTCATCTTTACTCGAGAGGAAGATACTGTGGAGCGATGGGAAATTTACCCTATTGAATATTATATGAAACTGACAAATGGAATCTGGTTTTGGCATACTGGGTGTCTTCAAGCTGTGAGCATTTAGAGTCCTACAGAAAAGTACCAAGTAAGTTTACAAATTACCATAAAAAATTGCAGTCAGGTCAATTTTATCCTGGTTGTTGTAATCTCATTTTTCTTGTCAGGGACATTTTTACTGGACTGAGGGGCCCACCGAAAGGACTGTTGCTGTTTGGACCCCCCGGCACAGGCAAAACCCTGATTGGTAAATATGTTGCCCTTAGGGTTAGAGAGTAGACAGGCGAAACTCTGATTAGTAAATATATCGGCCTTAGAGAGTAGACTACCTCGTGGAGCGTTCTGAGATAAACTTTTCTCCGTCAGTAAGAGCCCATGCCTTTACTGTCTCTTAAAAGACACCACAGAAAGTTGTGTTCCTGTTGTTGCTCAGCTGTTGGCTACGGTCACATTTCTGTGTCAACTCTGATGGGGAAGCAAAGACTGGTGACTTTACCTTCACCAGTTTGACAAGCACCTGATTTCACCGCATTGTTCCATGAATGGTCATCTTTCCTCGTTCTTTTCATCTCCTGACTTCCATTACTGGCTTGTGGTATTTTCTACTTTGTTCTAATCAAGAGAGTTTAAGAAATTAAGGAAATATCTCATTATTTCATTTCTTTTTTGAACTTGTTGATATAATTGTCTCCTGTCAAAATATTTTCTTTTTCTTTTTCTGGTTTATTTCCATGAATTCAATCTTTGCCATAGTTGTTGGATTGTCATGGGTTTAAATGTTCCCGGCGTTTTGTATTTCTGTACCTATATAACTGTTTGTGTCCTCTGTTATAAGCAAGATAGCAACATTCTTTTCCCCCCCCCCTGTAATTTAGTAAGTTGTAGGAATCTTTAGTCTACCAGAGAACATTTTTTGTGTCTGCTTTCAATACAGAAATTGAACACTTTTGACATTTAACCCTCCTGTGGCCACAACTAGAAATATTGTTTTGAAAATTATGACAAAATTATGAAAAATATGAATGAAACTGTACTAAACATGTTTATTAGCAAGGATGGATTCAGATGTGTTACAGACTTGACAACTGGGCATGGACACAGACGGGTCACTCACTCAACTCACGAGGCAGGAAAACGGAAGCTAGACCTCTAGACAATCGTAAGGGGAATGCACCCACACAATTAACATGATTAACAATCAACAAGACCTTTGATTGTTTACCTTTAAAACATTCATAAAGATTCATTACATTCCTCCCCCCTACGATAGACACAGGCACAACGTGAACCATCAGGAGACATGGCATGTTCATCAAAATAACACATAATACAAGTCATTCGACAATACGAATCAATTCAACAATGATCCAACAACAACCAAGCTTCTTGACTCACAATTATAAAAATGCAGTCTCACAGACACTAATTATAAGTAAGCCTATCTGGAGCTTGTCTAATTCTCCCGCTGCGCCTTGGCAATGGCACTGGTGAGTTATCAGATAGGCAATCTGGCTCTATTCTTTCTGCCTCAGCCTCCACCGACTGGTTCGAATTCCTACGAGTGCGAGGCATAGCACGTGGTGGAACTTCCACTTTCTGATACTGATTTGGAATGGGAACTGGAATTTCCTCACTTTTCTCTATATCAACAAGTCTAGACTCGCTAGAGTCGCTACTGTTCGGCACATGAACCTCTTCCCCCGAACCTGGTCCTGATGTCTTCTTACCAGACCAAGTCAATTTAATGATTTGATTATATGATGCCCTCCCCATCCTCCTGGAAAACAACAAACGAACAAAAACCACAACGATAAAAATGCCTTAAACATGTTGGTGCCATAGTTCAAATATGAAACAATGGGCACTAGAGAATTAAATCTACCTGAAGAAATACCGGTGTACGTAAGTGCTTTTTTTTCTCTCTTTTCCAGGAAAATGCATCGCCAGTCAGTCCAAGTCCACGTTCTTCTGTATATCAGCGTCTAGTTTGACGTCAAAATGGGTGCGTTCGTTTTTAGATACTGTACTGTACTTCTGGTCTCGATAAACTGTTGGATTACATGGGAGTTTGTTTTCCAAACAAAGGGGAAGGAAAGGATCTGTGAAAGGGAAGGGGCATTCTGAAAATGAGGGAACAAGTTACATACACTCATGAAAAAAATAAAGTGTGCAAAGAAATCAAATATATTGTACTGTTCCTTTTCTAGACGACACACCCTTCAAGAAGAAGTCATGAGGATAAATAAGTGAGCCCCCCTATTTCCAAATTCACAAAATCAGTACGGCTTGAAGTCCCCTGCTGCATTTTAGATTGACTGACACCATCGACGCATTGAAAGTAGTTTGTAGAATTTTCAAGGCTCTCAGCCCATTTGGCGGACTCATCATATACAGATGTTAAATTCTGAGGTCCTGTCTCTTAAATGACCTAACAGTGTTGATAGGGTTGGTTAAACCTTCCACTTATTTACTTTGACTGTTTTCAATTATAATTATATTTGTCTCCTTCCTTTTTTTTTCGTGTCTTGATTCCATGTATTTACATATATGTTGTTTTGTTTGTTGTTGTTCCACGGCAGGTGGGAGAGGGAGAGAAGATGGTGAGGGCTCTGTTTGCCGTGGCGCGCGTCCATCAGCCGGCCGTCGTGTTCATTGATGAGATCGACTCTCTGCTGGCCCAGCGGTCTGACACAGAGCACGAGTCGTCTCGGAGAATTAAGACGGAGTTCCTCGTCCAGCTGGTCAGTTTTGCTCAGTGCCGGCCACCACTGGTTTGAAACTCTGGCCTTCTGTATCTTCACCGTCATTCAACATTGTCATATGTCAGTATTGTGAAAGACTGAAAATCAAGTGTTTTGGAGAGTTTGATGAGGCGCATTGATTGGTCCTAGTCTCATTCCTCTTCTTAAAATGATAACGGATTTAGATAAATCAAACATTTTTTATTAAGACACAGTCCTGAGCAAAATGAAACAGTTTTTATTTCTCCTTAAAACCTTGTATTTTGACATACGACAGTTATGAATGACACAGGCCGTGTCTTCTTCTCTTGCTTTTTGTTGAACATTTTTGCTTCTTCTGAGTCCAATTTTAACTGAGGTGATTCAGTTCTTTGGCTTGGGACCATTTTTTTTTTATAGCCACGCTATACTTCCAAACAAACATGCTAGAAAAATGTTCCTTTTTTTGTAACTCCTGTTCCGCGTCTGTGCCAAAATGCGAGTCTTATAAATAACTTCTTACTGCGAACGCTCCCTGCGGGCCGCCGAGGTCACTCAGCGTGGACTGATAGTGTACAGCAAGCACCCCTGGAAACGTGTGTTTTCGCCGTGAATATCGTGGGGGTGTGTTAATCGATGATGAAAATAACGCTCTATCTTTTATAACTTTCTGTTTGTATAGTGTTACAAACTCATGAATAAACCTCTTCAATAAATTGATCAGTCATTACGAATAGTTATGCCCTTTCGAATAACCTTTTAGACAGTCTTGTTGTTAGGAATGATCTGGGGTTCAAAAGGAAATATTGTATGACAATTTCTGAATGTTTTGCTCTCAAATTTTTCTGTTTACCCGCACAATGTTATTCAAAACTATCAAATAAGCTTATTAAATTTTTATCGGGTAATATCATTTTATATAAAATCAAGCTCATTTGAAAGATTTTGGTTAGGAAAATGGAAGTCTTGTTTCCTGGCTATCCTCTTGAGCTCTTCATGTCTAAGTGGGTCAATTTGTTCTAATTTTATTGGACGAATATCTAGAGCTACTAACTTGGCATGTTTTGAATGAGACGTACGCTTCAGTATCGAACCAACGCAGGCAGTTAGGCCTCAAACGGCCACAAACTCAAGCAGACTGACACACACACACTTGAGCAGTGAGATTATGGGACCCGGTCATTACATGGATGTTGCTTGGCGCAGCATTACGTGGTGGCTTGTCTTTTGATCATTCAAAATCTGTTAATGGGTTACAACAATATACCGGTGGAGTAAAACCTCGGTACAATGTACATGTGTTAACATGTAGTGTCGGCTGTAACATTGACTGTCTGAAGCCCCAAGTCCCATGTGATAGTTCTTCTGTTTTTGGCCTCTACATGCCTGGACTAAGGTGTTCCAAGTATTAGGTCCAAAGGGAGAGCATTATACCCAGATTTGACTGTATCTTTACTTGGTTCGCAGGATGGTGCTGCGACAGCGTCAGAGGATCGCATCCTGGTCATTGGTGCGACAAACCGCCCCCAAGAGATTGACGAGGCAGCACGGAGGAGGTTTGTGAAGCGACTTCTCATTCCTCTGCCCGAGGCCGTCGCTCGTCGCCAGATTGTCTCAAACCTCATGTCCCAGCAACACTCGGACCTAGGCGACAACGACGTACAGGCCATCTGTGACCAGACTGATGGTGAGGCCAGGCTCATTCTGCATGACCTATTTGTGCTGAAAGTGCAGTAAATCTCGATACTGAAACTGAGGCCTATGCTGCACCTAGACAGACTAAAGCCTGTGTTATAGGGAGTTGTGAACAATGGGGTAATACAAACCTTACCGCACTGCCTAGACACAACATTTTTGTTGTGAAAAGTTGTGACCGGCCAAAAACCGAGTACAAGTCTGACTAAAGACTGTTTTGAGCCAGTAAGAGAATAGAGTTGTCTATCGTACTAGGATAAAACTGCCCTGAAATTTGACGACACGCCAAGTTCCATACACCTATACATACATCTGGCTGTGTTTTGCTGACACGCCGAGTTCCTTACACCAACACATAGATTAATATGCTTGTGATCGTTTTTACGCCAAACTGTATTCATTCTGTGCACATTGAGCACGGGCCATCAGCCAATATTTAAACAAATTAATCATGGATTTTTATGTCTATTGGACTGAGAAATTAATAAGTGCATTTGAAGGCAAACCTTCTTTACATTAAAACTTTGAAAGATTATTCTAACAGAGATTTAAAAGTAGAGAACATACACATGCTGTCTCTGTTAATTCCATGTTCAAAATGAATCGTTAATATCAAAGTCTTAAGATGCTTGAGTCTTAGTGCAGTACGGCTCAAGTGGAAGTTAAATTCTGTGACATAACTGACTAAACAGTCTAAAGACAAATTTGTCTAGGTGCGGCATAGGTCTAAAACTGGTACGTGCTGGGTCTGGTTTGTAACGAGGAGCCACAGATCGACCTGGTCAGAGGTTACAACACAAAAGAGTTGACTTGTGTCTTCCAGTGATACGGTTAGAGCTTTACACACCATGAATTATTGAGTTATTACAGCCTGATCGCAAATCAGGCACTCATCAAATTTTACGGATCGAAGAAATCAGTATTTATTTTACTGTGGGGCGATTTTTATCAAAATTAATTTTTATTGCAGTGAAACCTTCTCCGTCCTGTAAAAGAACGCATTTTTGGGAGAATTTTACAGACAAATGTTGTTTAAAGCAAAAACATGTTGTTTTATAGCACAAGTACAAGTATTCAGCTGCAGAAGTCACCTAACTTTGGCGGCCATTTTCTCCCTACTTTCACCTTGGACATCTTGCAACCCCTTCTTTGATCGCAAATGACTTCCATTCAAAATAGATCAACATTTTTTTTAGTACAGTTCAAGAAAATAAACAAGGAGAAAAGTGATTATCTTAGACAGATTTTTTAAACAGATTGGACTGTCTACGTATAACCACATTGCAGGCTACTCTGGGGCGGACATGAACAATCTGTGCCGGGAGGCGGCGCTCGGGCCCATCCGGAGCATACCCCTGGAGCAGATTGAGACCATTACGTCGGACCAGGTAAAAGTTTTCTCTTTGGTAACACTTTTCTGTCTTTCCTTCACGTTTCTTTGAAGTGCAGTCAGAATTATCTATGATGGCTACCTATTGTTGAGAAAAGTGGCCGTCTGAGACAGGTGGATATCTTATACAGGGTCAATTCAACATTTTAAAAAAAAGGGGTGGGGGGGGGGATTGCCGTTTGTACAGGTGATGTGTCTAATACAGGTGGCTGTTTGTACAAGTGATGTGTCTCATACAGGTGGCTGTTTGTACAGGTGATGTGTGTTACACATGTGGCTGTTTGTACAGGTGATGGGTCTTATACAGGTGGCTGTTAGAACAGGTTCCACTGTACTTTTCAGATTTCTTTCCTTTTCTGTTGATGATAAAGTTGTCATGCATAAAATCTAAGATAAATGGAAAGGCCAAAGATGTGGCGGGTCATCATTGCAAAGTGGGTGGTTGGCAGGTGCTCTGGTGTGGTTTGTGCTTATTTCCTATCAAACGTCTATCGCCCTTATCTCTCCACCTTTTCTTTGTATGTTTCTCTTGCGTAATAGCTCTAATCTTCGGAACTTATATGACCTATTTCAGTTTGTTATGCAAGTGTTGTATTTATGAAAACTGACACTTACGCTTTTGCTGGTTTAATGTATTAAACACAAGCCATTGGGCTAAAGTTTTTGTGTAGTGTTGTAAAACATCTTCATTTTGTGCTGTGCCTGCCACGTCATGAACTCTGTTTTTGACACGTCGTTGCAGGTGCGGCCGATCACCTTGAAAGACTTCCAGGACGCGTTGCTTCAAGTCCGTGCGAGCGTCTCGTCCAAAGATCTCCAGCTGTACGAGGAATGGAATCACACCTTCGGCAGTTTTGGTCATTGAGCGGATTTAAAAAGTCACAGGTTGTTTATACCGGGCTTGCCAGCTGCGCTGCATTTCTCAGGACTGTCTCAGATTCCGCGATTGGGAAGTTGACCAGAGAACATTATAGCCTCCACCATATGGGACAAATTTGGAACTTGCTGCTTGGTGTGAGTCAGCCTCTCTGTTTGTTTTAGCTGAAGTGACCACCATGTTGGATGTCCCTGGTTGGCTTTTGGGCTTTTGAAACAGTTAGCGAGCTTGTGAGACTTTTCCCTGTTGTCTGTAACAGTTCTGTGATGTTGCTCATTGTATTGTACAGTGTTAATGATTTCTTAGGCGTGAGAAAATGCTTTTAAATTCTCAATAAAGAGGGAAAAAAACGAACTTGTTGTTGTATATTTGAAGAGAAGCAGTGATACTCAACACATCTGTGTCGCAGCATGGTGGAATCAAGTGCTAGTCAAAATAAAGAAAGGAAAGAAACTGACATTTTTCCATCCATTGGGCAATTTTTATCAGATTTTTTATTTTTGGCTCGACACCTTTTATATCCTTTTAAAAACATATTCCTGCATGCATTTTACTGAAAAATATTGATGAATAGCACAAAAAAAATGTAAATTAGCAGTTTCCAAGGACTCTCAAAACTTTGGAAATCATGTAACTGGCAGCCATTTTCTTGCTAATTTTACCTCTGCCACCAGGTGACCCCACCTCCTTCAATTGCAAATATTTCGACTTCTATTTAAAATAATTGGGTACTTTTTTCCCATCAAACACAAAATAAACAAACAAGCTTTAAGATGATATCAACAACTCCATACACCCAAAAATTGACGAGTGCCTGATTCCACCACGTCGTGACACATAATATGATTATATGCTACAATTGAAGATGACAACTTGACAGAGAAGACCATGTAATTTAATGTAAAGAAATTATCGCCTGCCCTATCTTTACCTTGGATAGAGCTGTGAGCAACACAAAATGATGGTTATTGTAAACGCCTTTTCGACTGGTCTAAGATTCCTACATTTTACTACTTTTCCTTCACACAAATGATTTTGATTAGGTGACTAGATCAAACTGCCAGTGGAATATTTATAAAATATGTGCAAAACTATAGGTTTAGCGCCCCTTGTGACACTGGGGTTATTTAAGAGGCAGGGCCTCTGAATTTAAGGTCCATCTCCAAAAGGACCGAGTCAAATGGAAAATTTGTGTAAAATGTGTTTTCTAAGGACACAATGTCGGATGGAGCTGAGCCTCAACCTCTTTACCCGCAGTCTGACAATTCCGAGTCAGACAGTCTAGTCACTAAAGTAGCCACGTCGCACTTTCATACCATACAGCACAGAATGATGAAGTGAGGGTAAAAGACAAAAGAACAAGTATCTGTAAGTTGTAAGTGGAGACCAACATCAAGAGGTTCATTTTTCCATGAGTTTATTTCAAGACAATGCTGTCTTTTGCAAGGCAGGAAGTATAAAAATATGCTTATTTTTTATCTTCTAAGCTTTGATACTTTTTCCATTTAAATTTTAAGACTTTCAATTTTGCTTGCAACTGAAAGTCAACTGTGTACATAAATTTAATAGGTGTGCACCTAAAAAAACAACTATAAAACAAACATTTTCCACCATGAGACATCTACATTTGATTACCCTGAGAATGTGAGTGCAAAACTGTCTCAGTCAGCAGACACAGAGAGGTCAAAGGAGCTGATGAAAATATAGACATGAAATCTCCTGAAAAAAGTTATTGACGTTGTGTACACAGTTGAATTGTTTCCACTTGTAGAGATCAAATAAGTTAAAACAGCCTTTTTGTTTGTAGAAGGTACTACTTTTGTATTTCTTCACCTAGATCTGTAAGTGGTGTAAGATTCACACCTCGTCATGTCGCTGTTCTTTCTTCTGTATTAAACACTTATTTAGCAAAGTGAACAATCTCTCCTTTCCTGCTGCCAATACACTTCATTTATATATATGTACATCATTAGTGCTTCTTAACTTTGATTCATGCCATTTGTCTTACAGTTCTAGAACAAGATTTCCTGGAGATTCATCTTTTCTCATTTTTCTGTACTTTTCCAGTTTTGTTTCGTCATTGTAAAGTAGCTTGTGTTTCCCCATTGCTGAACTGTTCACGAGGTTGGGAAGCACTAACTCATCAAATGGACGGTAAATAGAATGATGGAAGTGACGAGGCTCCTTAGTCCTCGGGCGCAGCCTCCTCCACGTCTGAGCCACCCTGCTCCTCATTCTGAGGACAACAAAATGTCAGCCATTGTTGAGGGGAAGTTCGGGGAAAGAAAAGTGTAAAAATAGTCTAACACACACATAGTAAACATGAAGATAGTGTAACACTCACACAGCCAATTGATTTTTAGGTCCCAAATCTTTTAAACGGGTACTTTTTTTTTGTATTTGAAACATATGTGTACGTAGAGAAGTCCGTAATATTGAAAAGATTTCTATGTCCTGGCGATTTTGTTCTGCATATGCCAGACTACTTTCTTCAGTATCCGTAGCTGTAAGTGTAAGTAAACAAATTGTTCACTCAACTGTCTATACTAATACAGCAACAACAAAAGACCTATCTCAGGGGGGTCACTGTTTCTAGCACTAACTAGTAAAATATACGTGTGAGCTTCTCATGAGTTGATAGTACAAAAACCTGAATAATCAAAAGATTGCTTCACTTTTTGAAAAGAAGTTAGGTCTAGTGTATTATACTTTCAATGAAAGCTTAACATTCCCATATTTTGTCGCTAGAAAGTATACAAACTTCCTAATTAGTAATAACCTTTTACTTTGATATTGCCTGTGTACGGTGAAATATTGAGTGTATGTGTACTAAGTAGGACAGTGGGACGTAAAAATATTGAAAGCTTAGCTTAATGTTAGAGTTAGAGTTTAATGTTAGGGTCTAGTCTTTCAATGAAAACAATTTCAACATTCTAATATTTTCTTTCAAGAAAATATATATGTTTATACTTGCTCATTAATTGTACCCTTTTAATAGCTCCCCAATAACTTTCTGATGTACTTAGGGGATTCAGAAAAAGCCAGTGTTTTCTACCACTAATGTAATCAAAGTGTGTGTCAGCACAGTCAGCTGTATGACATGTACAGTCAAACATCATTATACCATTATGTACGTGGGGCAATCAGAGAAAATATCTTGTGTCTTTCCTGTTTGCAAAATGCCAGTTCAAATATTTCAAGCAATAGACTGATCTATCAAGTGTGAACAAACAAGTCGAGCAACACACAGTAAACGAGTAAACCAACATTTGCTGTGAAATACAACCATGAACAAAAGGAAGAGAAATTTGTAACATAATTCCAACAGATTGGTTCAGTTCACTCTTCTGGTCAACTTGTTCTAACCAAAGTGCAATGGTCTTGAAAGCACAATCAATTAAATAAGAACAAAACTGAGAAAACGTCTGGAAATAAGTTCTTAAAAAATATTTGTTCTCAGCGTGCCTCTGCCTCCTCAACAATTTCGTGTTCATACTCCATGTCCTGCCCGTCAGCGAGCATGTTCATTTCTCTCGCCATGTGTGTCCTCAAAGCCTGTCGGTGGATGTCATATTCAAAATATTTATCCTTTCCAGAAAAGGTTGCAAAAGGTGGAGGTCATTACAAAATATATAATTAATAAAATTTGTACGTGTCCTCGCTCAAGTCAACAGCAAGCTCTATGTGTTGTACAGTCTATATTATTATCCCAGAAGACCCTGGAACACTTACAAACTTTCTATGCTTTCCAGGAAGCATACAGAGCAAACCTGCAGATTAAGCCGTCATGCACTAACACACTCACACTCACAAGATCTTTCACTGTCTATAGCGGGGTGCCTGTTCCAAACTGGGTGAAGTGAGGAAAATTCAAGTGAAATGCCTTTCCCAAAAACACGAACATCAAGCCCCAGATAGGATTTGAACCCATGACCTTATGATTAAAGTTAAAGTCCAAGAGCCTAATTACTAGACCACTGTACATTGTATAAAGTAAAACTGAAATTGTAGAGATCAACTTTTCCTAGCTAAACCATTTTCTATCTGACTATCAATAATACATTTTTTTGTTAGAGTTAAACGACACTTGCAACACAATAAGGTCATATAAGTGCCAAGGATTAAAGGTGATACAAGAGAGTTACAAAAAAAAAAAAAAAGAAGCAGGGTGGATAAGGATGATACATGTTTGATAGGAAAGAAGGAGCAAACCACACAAGGCACCCGCCAACCACCCACAATGCAGTCAAAAAGTATATCATTAAGCTTTCATCGCAGTAAAGGTGAGTACTTCATTCTGTAAGGAGAGAGAAAAAAGTATGGACGATAACCCAACAAAAGCCTGCCCACAACACTCACTGCTTTCTCTTCCTCTTCTTGTCTCCTTTGCTCTGCAATTTCCTCCGCCTCAGTTCTCTCTTCGTCAGTGTACTCATCTTTGTCGAGGCGTTCCAGGGTCCGAACTCCAATCAGAGTCTCCAGTCTGTAGTCGTCCTCCTCCGCACACGGGTTTTCTGTAGAGTTGAAATTCCAACAGGAACAAAACTCTTGTCAGTATAAAATATAATGCAGCTCTTTTAAAGTACATGTACCTCATGTGACACGTCATATATTGTCAGCTTTATTTTTCACTTCATATTGAAATTTCTATTTAAACTATTTAACTCTTATCCGATCTTATTTTACCCTCACTGCAAACTACAAGTTGACAACCACCTTTAATAGTTTAACAATGGCACACATCTGGCCTCAGTGTGACAGACAGATCAGTGACAGCTGACCGAAGTGACAAACAGACAGATCAGTGACAGCTGACCGAAGTGACAGCCAGACAGATCTGTGACAGCTGAACGAAGTGACAAACAGACAGATCTGGGACAGCTGAACGAAGTGACAAACAGTCAGATCTGTGACAGCTGACCGAAGTGACAAACAGACAGATCTGTGACAGCTGACCGAAGTGACAAACAGACAGATCAGTGACAGCTGACCTCAGTGTGACAGACAGATCTGTGACAGCTGACCGAAGTGACAAACAGACAGATCTGTGACGGCTGACCGCAGTGTGAGACAATAACGAGGTTAACTCTTAGTAGTAGTAGGCCTACTGTCGACTCCGCTTGTGTTGAACTCGCTTGAGTTGATATTCGGTTAAGTTAATCTTTTTCTTGGGTCACAGCACCTCTTCTTCTTTACATAGGTGGCGTAAACATGGCTTCGTGGGCACTCGCGGCCTTCGGAGTGCGTGGTTTAGGTGAAATCACGGTAAATCAGTCGCTGTTTCTTCGCTCTTTCGTTATTTAACACCAAATGCTGTATACTGTGAAGGAGTTCAGCTTTTCCTCATTACAATGGTGTAAGTTGTTTGTATATATCCGAGTATTTGGAGCTGGAGAATTGCTGAGGAAATCGAAGACCCTTGCGGTCGGAAAGCGTGTTCGGCTGGTTAAAAAATTTACATGCGTGCATTCACATGCTTCACGGAAAGATTGATGATTAATTACCGTCTTTTTATTGGCAGAGAACTATAGAGCTTTGAACGGGCTTTCCCGAGGTATATTTTTGGCCTCTGGCGTTTAAATAGAAAGCCTTTAAAAATGAAGTCAAAGTTTTCAAAGATCATTTTTAACACGAAATCTGTAGACTAAAATACTGGCTAAAAAAAAGGTACTGATGGAAAGATCAGTTTATTTTCTATTAGAATAAAGTAATCGGCTTGGAATTATTTTGTATTAATCCTTCCGCAAAACTCGGTCAGCGCTTTGTGTTTTTGTTGAAATAACGACAGATTATCGTGTTTGAGTTTGAGGTAATAAAATACTGATTTGTAATGATCTCACAGTCTTGAAAAAAATTAGGATGTTATAGTGATTCTACTCTGTTAATGTGGAGATGTTTGGTGCACTTGGTACTCTTTTATTGTCTGTCAAACATGGGGTTGAAGCCAATACGCCACTTAACAATATTTTATTGAATTTAAAACAGCTGCCATTCTCTTAAAAATAGACAGAGAGGTAAAAGAATGGTACCAAAATTATCAGGAGACATGGGCCTTTCATATATATGGAACAGAAAGATTTGGCATACAGATACTTTGAAAATTTAGTTTCTTTCACCTACTTTACAGAGTTAAATTGACTTTCGGAGGAGTCGACTGTTGGGGTGCTAGTTCAGCTGGCAAGGTATCGCTCGGATAGACATGACGTACGGTAACAGAAATCTATGAAACCCCAGCAAATCCACATTATCTAGAATCAAACTGAATGTTTATTGCAGGGAGCATTCATTTCTACCTCTACTTTGGTGTTGATTTTATACAGATAGATAGAGGTTAAATAGGAGCGGAGTTATTCTAGGGAAGTTTGAGATGCTGAAACATTGGATGACAAAATTGGCTGTGTACAAACGGGGGAATACTTTCCATGTGCTGAGTGTTACAATAAGAACCTTGACAAAGTCAAGCGATTCTGTCCACTGCTGGGACTCTTCCCACAGCACACACACACACATAAAACGCTGACCTGAGAGTACAAGAGCTCTGATGAGAGGCAGGCATTTCAGCTTGGCTGCTTCCTTCACAGAAGTCACCAGGTTGCCCCTGAAAAAGAAAACATGAAGGATGACCAAGAAGTTTACCCCTAGCCATCATGTAGGAATGAAGGCAGAGATTTTTTTTTTTTTGGTAACATCTTATTTTGCACCTAGTTGCCAACTACAAGAACATTCTTTTCCCTTTTGTGGATGGCCTCGGAAACTCCTTAATGATAAAATCCTGTTTCGTTGCTGGACCTAGTCTTTTACGACATCAATGACTTCAGTTTGAGATTTTGACTTCCTCAATACGTTCCAAAGGAGAGACATAGTCTGTGTTTTAGGAATCTACGAAAGTGCAAGGATGTGTCTTACTATTTTACAGGTGTGATAGGGGTATATTTTATGGCAGGGAGGATTTCTAATTTTTAAAATGTTACCTGGGTAGGGGCATAATGCCGGCATAAAGGCCCAGTCTTCTACTTCTACAATTTTCAGCTACCAAGAGATCTTTAACGTGAGCAACATGCACACAAGACCTCTGCGTTTTCATCCTTATCCAAGAAGACAATTCTCGATCTTATCTACCCATGGAATCAGGGTGTGGAAGAAGAAGGAGATTGAGCGAGTGAGAGAGATGTGTTTATTCCTGTCTCGTCACCTGATATTCAAATACTGTAGGGACTTCTGCTCCTCGGAGAACCCTTCCAGATTCTCCAGCTGGTTGTCCCTGAGGTGGATGGTGGTCAGACTCGTAAGTCGAGACATGCCCTCGATCCTCTTGATTATATTGGCAGCCTGAGCAGGACAGAAAGTGAAAAAAAATTGTATGTGACATTATATCGAAAGAAATTAAATATATATTTCCTCAGCCTCATTCCACAAGCGACCAAGTCATTTTTTCAGTTTTTGAGAAAATAAAAGCAAAAAATACAGTACAACACGGCTATAGCGTGACTTTTAGTTCTGGAAGAAAAATCATGCTGTAGGCGAGTTCCCGCTATAGGAATGCAAAGGGGAAATGACTTGAAATTTCTTAAAATCCATATTATATATATCAATAAAATTTGCATTTTAGATTGGTCTTCCTTTTCAAGTCATCTTCGTTAATTATCTCGGCCTATAATTCGAGTGGGAAGCATTTCCTTTTGTCTTTGGTGGAAGCCATCCTTTCCTCGGTCTTGATGCGTGTGCTGTCTATTGTACTGGTAGTAGTGGTAGGCCTACTGTAGAACTGTTGAAGAGGATGCGTGCGTATGCCCATGAGCATCAATGATTGCAATTCTGTGAATCAGGAATCACCCTTACACGCTCTCCTTTTCTTTTAATTTTTGGCCTAGCCTAGGCCTAGGGCTATGGCCTATATGCTCTCATACTCTAAGCTACGGCACATCACTTTTAGAATGGCTCACGTAACGCGTCTCTCCACTAAATCTCTCTCTGCCGCCTGGCCAACCTCACTCATTACTGAACTGGCCAATCACAACGCCGCACCGCTGACTGCTTGTTTGGAGCTTGCCTACAGCCCCCAACCCCCTTCCCCCCAGCTAGAGCTCGCTTGATCTCTCACGCTGTATCCGAGTTCGGGCCTTTCCTTGCCCCGCTAAACCCATGCACAGGTAATTGAGTCTACATAGGAAAAAAAAAGGGATTCCAGTAAGGGCCCGCTGTAGCGGTTGCCGCTATAGTCATGTACTACTGTACCCATATCTGAACAATGACTTGGCTATCCACTTCTTTTTATATATAAATCAATAAAAAAAACAAGGAATGAAATACAGTAGTCTCCGCCTAAATGCGAGCCATACAAAAAGCATGCTCCACTCAAACGCACGCTTTCATTTTTACTATATATAATTTAGAAGTACAAACCCACGGTCACTCCCGCTAAACGCACGCTCCGATCCACGAAACATGCCAACAGGTAAAGTAAAAAAAATGTTTTTTGATTGGTCATTGGAAATGCATTTTTAAGAGAAGGTTCAGACTGGTGTTTGGGTGACTGCATGTAATGTTTAGTTAGACCTAGGCCTAAGATGCGCGTGAATGCTGTAAAACACTATAGATAGGACTCTATAACTCTATAGGATTAAAGATTAGTCAAGTAAGGCTAATCAGCTGCACTCGAAGAACTTAATAACGTACTTGTTCAACAAACCACAAGAGAAATGTTTCTCCGAATGTAGAGATCTATGACCATGATTCTGATATCGTCCATGAATTTACGGTTGGGGGTGGTTGCTTGGAAAGCCACAGGGCTAGGCCGTCGTCTCTATGACTATCACCAACAGTTTCCTCTTAGGATCTGTACCCGACATTTTATGGTGTATATCATTACATTGAGTCTCTCTTCCTGTTCCCCGACAAAGCAGCAGGGCTGGATCCTGCTCATCAAATCTGAGAGTGGCGATTCGTGATTCAGTCGGCTTCAAAGAATCGCGAGTATGCGAGCGCTCGTTGAACTGTGGTGGAACACTGACTGAAACGGAACAGTGTCATATCAACGCCACTTGGCGAGCGCGAGTCCCACTCTTGTTGTCCTGCCATCCTCTCCGCCCCACACCCTTTGTTGCGCTGCTCTATCAACTGACCTCAATTAGTGACCCCATAAATTCACCCCCCCCCCCCAACCCCATGATTCGCTAAAACAATGGCTCCACAAAATTCCTTCTGTCTATTGGTTGGACCCGGTTCATTTTGTTTTAATAGGGGGGTTGGACTATACCATCTTTAGTAAAATAAGGGGAGCCATACTTAGGGTTCCGTTCCTTTCTTGCGCTTGTGACTCGACTCAGCAGTAAGTTAAACAAGCCACAAGGTGGTGATAGCGACAGGGGAGTGAATCGAGAATCGTTTGGCGATACTGTTCCGCGTTCCGCTGAATTGAATCGTGAATCGTGTTCCGCAGGCAAGAGTGGCGATTCAGTTCCGTTCTCGCGCTCGCGACCCAGCAGTACAAAGCAGAGAATATGTCCACGACTTGTAAGAGTTAATAACCACCAATTCCAGCAAATAAAGAGATAACAGTAATAGCTGTAATTGTTACCGAGGTTTGTAACTAATCCTGGGCCAAGTGGATGAAGCACAAAGCATAAAACTAAATACTAAATGAAAAGAAAAACCTGTTACAAGTTAGCTTCCGTTTTCTGTTCATAGGCAGACAGTAGAAAAATACTGTAGAAGAAGCACTGAGAAACAGCATGTTTTGTTATCTGAATGCTTCCATTAAAAAATTTCCCTAAAAAAGGAAGGATAGGTAGATGGAAAGAAAGGTGATTGACAAAAGAAAGGAAGTATGGACAGAAGAGTGAACAGACGGCTGGGATCAATAAAAGAAGCAAAATCTGCGTACAAGAAACAAGTTCTTCAGGTTGGGCAGGTAAATGCCGTCAGTACTCTCCAGCTTGTTGCCTCTCAGCTCCAGCGAGTGTAGACGAGACAGTTTTGTCGCATCCAGCCCTGTCACTTCTTTGATCAAGTTATCTGGAGACAGAGCAAAGTTACTTTTCTTTTGTGGAACAAACACCAAAGTGTTTTCCTGCGTTTTTCTTCTGAACATTCAGAAGGGGAGGGGGGGGGGGGAGGGGATGTCAATTATATTATATAGACTCAAAAGTAGCAGCCATTCAAATTTAGGGGTAACAGCACAGATAATATACGTTTATGATTACATGAACAAGTGTGACAGTCACATAAATCATTTTAGGCCGGTGCTACTCGCCCGATGTCGGGTGACTAGCGCCAGGCTACTCGCCCGATAGGGTGGCTAGGGTCAGGCTAGTCGACTGAATTCGGTTTAGCCTGACACTACTGGCCCGTGGGGATTTCTGCAACTTCAGGTGGCTAGCATTTTCTGCCCACCCGGAGCCGGTCACCTAGATCTAGTCTTAGTCTTGTACGGGGTGCCCACTACAGCTGGATCGGGCTGATCGCCCAACTCGATTGCCTGAAACTAAAAAAAACCCAAACATGTTTGTTTTTAAGGCGACCGAATCGGGCGATCCCATCTGTAGTGGGCACCCCGTTTTAGGTAGCGTGAACACGGCCTCACGGCCTTCTGAGCGACATGAAGCTATTGAGAGCACCTATCACACCTCTCTGATTGGGCCAAAATAGATAATAGATGATGTTTTTTCGCCATCTATTTTTGTCGTCTTCCGAGGTTTCCCTCGCGAGTTGACAACATGGTTGCAGATCCCCTAGATCTATCACCCTTTATTAATTATTTAATTATTATCATTCATTTGAATGCCGGTGACAAAGTTACTAACAATAGAAATGCAGTCCCGTGATGTTATTAAAGATTGGCTAACTACTACCAAGATGTTTCAATTGCCCTATCTCGCGTCTGAACGAGACTTGGGCTACCTCGTCTTATTAGCGCGTGACGGCCTGTGATACGAGTGTAAACAAATGTTCTTACGCTGAGTTGAAAGCAATAACTTTTGTCTTCGGGCAGCGAGAGAAAGAGAGGGGGGGGGGGGGGGGGGGGAAGAAAGAGAAAGAGAGAGAGAGAGTGAGAATGTGAAAGTGAGAACAACAAAGAGAGAGGGAGAAAGAGAGAGAGAAAGAGAGAGAGAGAGAGAGAGAGAGAGAGAGAGAGAGAGAGAGAGAGAGAGAGAGAGAGAGAGAGAGAGAGAGAGAGAGAGAGAGAGAGAGAGAGAGAGAGAGAGAGAGAGAGAGAGAGAGGGGGGGGTGTTTTTGTTATTACAATTATTGATTCCTGACGTTTTCTCTCTGTGCTGGTTCACAAGCTGACCCGGTGCAATACAGTCATTACAGTACACATTATGGCCAGTCCCATCTTCATACATGACATGTATTATAATAATGTCAATTTTGTCAGATAATTGCAGTCAAAGTCAAAACTGTCAAGTTAGAACCGATCCGACTCTTGACTTAGAAGACAAGGAGTGACCGTGAGAGTGACTGAATCTTGCGCGATTGATCACGCGAATTTCAAAGGAGCATGCACAGAAATCCCCACGGCCCAGACCATGGAACATGCGCAGAAATCCCTAAGGGCCAGAAGCCGCAGACCAGGCGGGGCTAATCGACCGAATTCGTTCGCCCGGAACATGCGCAGAAATTCTAGATCGGGCGAGTAGCCTGGCACTAGTCACTCGACATCGGGCGAGTAGCCACTCTGATAATTTTAAAGTATAGTACAGTCCTCTTTGACCAAACACAGTTAATCCAAAAACGGCAGTAAACTGAAAGAAAATGAAACCCCTGATCTTTACTTTTTATATATATATTAGGTACCAGAAACTAAATTTTCAAAGTAGATGTATGCCAAATTTATCTGTTCCATTTGAAAGGCCTATATCCACTGAGCATTTTGGTACCATTCTTTAACATCTCAGTCAATTTTTAAAAAAATGGTAGTTGTTTAAAATTTGATCAAATTTGTTTAAGTCAGTCACTGGCTGCAACCCTATGTTTGACATATATAATAAAAGAGTACCAAGTGCACTAAACATCTCCACATAAACAGAGTACAATCACTATAACAAATATATGGAGCCTAATTTTTTTCAAGACTGTGAGATCATTACAAATCTGTATTTTATCGCCTCAAACACGACGATCTGCTGTTATTTGGACAAAAACAAAAATTTGGAGCATTGACACGGCCGGCGCCGCACCAGCCCCCACGGCGAGCGAGTCGGCTCTTTACAGTACTTTACTGTTGTGAACCCCGCGTGCGGGGTCACATGCTTTCCAAGTCTCGCGGAAGGATTGATACAAAATAATTCCACATTAATTACTTTATTCTAATAGGAAATGAACTAATCTTTTAATTGATACCTTTTTTTGAGCCGGTATTTTACGTATCTCGTGTAAAAAATGATCTTTTAAAATTTTGACGGTATTTTCAAAGGCTTTCTATTTAAACGCCAAAGGCCAAATATATACCACGGGAAAGCCTGTTTCAAGCTCTATCGTTCTCTGCCAATGAAAAGACGGTATTTAATCATCCCTCGTTCCGCGAAGCATTTGAATGCACTTGTGTCAATTTTTGAACCGGCCGACCACGCATTCAGACCGCGAGGGGCTTCGCTTTCCTCGGCGATTCTCCGCTCCTAATAATGGGACATATAAACAACTTATACCATTGTAAAGAGGAAAAGCTGAACTTTTACAAGGTGTACGGCATTGGGTGTTTTATAGCGAAAGAGCAAAGAAACAGCGATCGGAATTGCCCCAATTTCATCGATACCACGTGGTCGGAAGGTCGCGAGTGCCCGCGAGGCCGTGTTTACGCTACATATATATATATATGCACAACCTCTCTAAACTGAAAATCTCAGCTAAAACGAAGAAAATCTTGTACTCTCGCTGACTTTTGTTTAAGTAAGATAAGATCAGATGAGATAAATACTTTATTGCCCCAGAGGGAAAGTACTGTACAGGACAGTAAAAAAAAGTGGACTCCTCTGTACTGGAGGAATGTCTTTGTCTTCTTTCCTCATTTCTTCCTTCTTAGTAATCATAGTTTCTTTTCTCACTGTGCCTTTGAAAGGGTTTTTTGTTTCTTTTACAGTGCTAAACCATCACATACAAAATACGAGTTCTGAAAAATACACTTTTCGAATACATAGGCTAATAAGCGCAATTTGAACAAATAAGGGAGATAAATATTATCAGGGTTTTGAAATAACATTTGTCGCTGTTATTTCCCCTTCCCAAAAACCGCATCAAGGATTGTTTCTTCATGTGCTTTGTCTCACTCACCACAAGTCGCTGGTGGCTTCTAAAATGTATTGCCCAGTAGTAAAATCGACAGGCAAGGGCATTATTTTTGGAGAAAAAAAGCTATGACAAAGAAAATGAACATCCAGGTGTTGAGTATTTCCTTGCAGTTTAATAAACCAAAAAACAAACAACAATTGACGTCACAAAGAGAATTGGAACACACACACATTAGAATGATTTCCTTTATAATCCTGTACAAAATGGCTTTTAAAATGAAATGCCTGAAGTCTATCCCAATCACTAAATTAAGACCAAGAATACAATATATATAATAAAGCCCTGATGCTATCACAACAGACAGAAGCGACTTACTGTTTAGGTTGAGATGCTCCAGCATTGGATGGTTGATGCCTTCTGTGGTGACGATTTTGTTGTGACTGAAACTGGCAACCTGTACAAGAGTTCACAGTCAATACATTCATAAAGAGGAAAACCAAGACACTTAAAAACTCTTTATGCACAGTTGTCCACGTAAAAAAATCGACTTTGTGTTGTGATAGGTGCCAGATGAACGCATAGTCTTTAAAAATAATATGTAGATACTATTCACTTTGAACATAAACCTGTGACAAGAAAGTTTTGTCTGCACTAACTTTTAGAGCCTTTCACAGAGAGGGGTTCAACTCATTCTAAGACACAATGCCATCAAAAGAGATAACAGCTGAGTTTTCAGGATGAGAGCTCACTTTTACCACTAATATCAAGGATACGCATTACATATCTCTATTCATCAATTTATCACCGACAATGACAACAAATGTGTCACAAAGTGGTGGAACCAGGCGCTCGTCAATTTTTGGGCACGTGAAGTTGTTGGTATCATCTGAAAGCAGATGTTTTTGTCTTGCTTCCAATCTGGCATAGTGCTCAAGATCTGGGATTGCAGAAAGTGAGGCCGCCTGATTTCAGTGGTGAAATTATCGAGAAAATGGCCACCAAAATTAGGTACCTCCAATAGCTTAAGTAAAAGAGTCTTTGAAAACTGAAAAATTACATATTATTTTGTGCCTTTAATAAATATTTTTCAGTAAAATTGTCATGGAAATGTGTTATATAGACATAAAAGAGGTTAAAGCCAAAAAATACAAATTCAATACAAATTTTCAAACTGATGGAAAAATGTCTGCTTCTTCGATTTTGTTGTTTTGACGAGTGCCTGATTTCACCACGCTGCCTCACAAATGACAGTCGTGTAACAGCGACATTCACTCTTATCACACTCAGTAACATTCACACATTTTCTTCTCAGCAACATTCGCATTTGACCCCCACAGCTACCGACCTGAAGGAAAGGCATCTCTTCTAGCTTGGCAGTAGTGAGGAGATTCTCATCAGCCTTAAGGGTCAGCATGTGAGTGAGAGCACTGAGCGGCGAAATGTCCTTTAGTGAATTTTTACTGACGTCAATATATCGAAGATGAATGAAAGACTGCAAAATTTCAATGTCTGTGATTTCCCTGCGAAAATAGGAAATATGAAGCAAATAAATAATAATCACCATGATGACAACATTTGTAGGCTACATCATTTCAGACAAGATATTATAGTATAGTAGAAAAAAACTAGAGCGATCAAACGTGTGCTTTATACCATGCTACTTGCAAAAGCAACTGTACTTTCAAAAACAGTATTCTTAACATTGACATAACATCACAGAATAATTGACAGGTCAAGCAATAAACTAGTTTACGATAATAGGACAGTAAAAAATGTATTTTTCAAATGCTAACGTACCTTTCATGAACATCGAGTCTAACGTATGCGTGTGACAAGCCATCTCCAGTCTTACAAAGAAGTGACAAGCTCTCTGCAACCAGATCTTCAGACAAAGGATTTGGGGGTACTTTCTGAAAACGAAGATAACAGGTAATAGCTAATATTTAAATATGTAGTCCAAATATGGAAGACCTAAATAATATCATTCAAGAAAATTGCTTTACTGTGTGTGTCATAATCTCTGATTATTATTCATGAATGTTTGAAAAAAAATGTCATCTGCGTACGTCATGCGAGGCACTTCATGGGTGCCTACGTCGAGCCATCTCCAGCATCACGCAATCAGCATATATACATACTATATATATTTGTCGAACCTGCCCTGACGGCTACCTCTATAAGACGACCACTTTCCATTTCCTCCCTTGCGTTTTTTCTATATAATTTAACTGTGTAAAACGGGCACCTGTCCAACGTGGCCGCGGCCATCATATTTTAACACACAACACCTATCATACTAAACAATAACGCCTGCCTTAGGTGGCCACCTTAGTGACTCCATTACGTTTTGTCTTAAATTCTGCATTGGCCAATGGCGTTGTGGGCGAGCCGTCATAATCCAATCACCTGTCGTTGTTGTTAGGTAGTCCCTCCAATTGATCATGTTGCGTAGGCCCCTCCCACTATTGACCAATTGGTAACAAATTTTCAGCAGCTGGTGAGGTAAGCGTGTGATCCCTCATAACCACAATCCCCGCCCAGAACTCATACACAAATCGTAAGTGAGATGAGTGGTCACTGTTTACCCAGTCTGTAACAAAATAACAATGGACGTCATAGGAACTAGTTACAGAAGTGTCGCTCGTTCTCCGAGTGGTGGCGACCCATGTGTTTGTTTTACCATAGCGCTCGGTCCTCCTTGTCTGATACATTTTGTTTTATTGTCACCCTTGCACAAAAGCAGCAACAAAAGAAAAATAGAGAAAAAAATCCCAGTGAAAACAACAACAACAAAACGGCTACCTTTGGTTGGGACCTCAGAAAGGAATAGTATGTTTTCTTCATCTTGATCAGTCCTGCCTAAGATGGCCACCTGACTTATATGGCCAGTTTTCTCCTCGACAATGGGTGGCCGTCTTACACAGGTTTGACTGTATATATATATATATATATATATATATCTATATATATATATATATATATATATATATATATATATATATATATATATATATATATCTGTACGTGTCGATTGTGACTATTGTCCGAAAAGTCAAATATAAATATTATATTGTTGCTGTGCTCAGGACCACCTGCTCTAAAAAATCTATTTGGATGTGTTTAGAAAAATATGTACTTGGAACTACACATTTAACCAACCCCCCCCCCCCCGTCCCTTTCTGCACACACACACACACACACACACACACACACACACAAATGACCATCAATGCATGCGCTCTCTTTCGGTGACCCCTGAAAAATCATTCACTTTACTATAACATAATATAGCCTCCGAAATTACACAGCCACTTGCAAATTTTGAGGGTACCTATTGGAAAGAAAATCAACATGTACGGTACACAAGATTAATCAATTTCTACTGTAAATCAGGAAATAATTTTGCTTCACTCCTCGGTCCTCAGTGAACACTATCTTTTTCTTCATTCTTTATGGTGACATAAAAAAGACAGTGTTGCAAATACTGGTAGATTTCTACTCCGGGGATGCAGACGTGTCATGTTTGTTGACATTATTCATTATAATTATGAAATTATTGAGAGTATGAGATATGAGAATTCTACACGACTTAAGTGAATTATGATCATACGCTGCTATGAAATATGAACAAGATGACAGAAGTTAAATTCTAGCAAGGAACAGAGACTGCTTTTACTGTTGGCAGATGCCATCAGCTAAACTCAATATGTATCATTGGTTGTTGTAGTACCAAAGTAACCAGTTATCTCTTTTTTTTAAAATGTGACACAAGTCCCAAAAAGCGTTACTAGAGCTCTATACTAATTGATCACCAGGTCGTCTGTGTCGAGCTCAGTTCATTACCAAAATGAAAATTTATTTGCATAAGAAAACACAAATATTAGCTCAATACCACAAAATAGATGATTTGACACACACGGAAGATTACCTCTTCCTCCTCTTCCTCGGCGTGTTCCTCTTCCTCGTCTCCAAGCCCTTCTTCATCTCCCTCCTCAGCTCCAAGATTTTCTTCTTCTTCCTCTTCTCCGCCTGGAGCAACTTCAGTATCTTCGTCTGACATCTTTTCTGTTTATCAGAACAAATCCAAGCACCGAGTACGAGACAGCTCACCAGTCAAAACCTACAATTCCTCTAGGCGTCGCTGTTGCCGTGACAACGAACACTTCCGGTTCAAATCTAAGAAATTAATTTACACTGTTGCGTTTCATATTTACACTAATTACAGGAAAATATGTGAAAACTATGCAAACAAATAATCTTTATAATTTTTTTTCAAACCTAAATTACCCTTAAAAAGGGGGAAAAGGTCGATTGTACCCTATTTAGACAAAGTTTGTTTACAAAAAAAGCTGGCGTAGAGAGTATGCATTTGCAGACCCAGCCAACCAATTTATTGCTATGATTGGGCCTGAAAAGGTATGGAAAATTCCCTTATATCTATAGTGGGAAGTTCATGAAACTTGTCCGGACGCTTTTTGTTCTCCCACACAGAGAATACACCCTTCTTTTCGATTCGTGAGTATTTTTTCAAACTTTTTGTTGATGTTTACCTTTTACCCTAATTCAACTTTTCTTTTGAATGATCTGTATTTCAAGAGAAATTTGAGGTTTGATAGATTTCGAGATTTTATTGAGTGGATGTGGCAAACATTGCCTTCGGCCCCGGCCCATGCCCTACTTTGAGTTTCTATAAACTGGCATAAACACGGGTCACCGCCACCTTCTTTTGGATACGATAACCTACTGGGGTAGCTCTTCCAGTTTTGACCGTCATTAGTCATTGTTCGCTTGGACATAGATCTAGATCTAGGTTTATTTAGTGAACAGTGTTAACTTGATGGTGGTATTGTGGCGGTGACCTGTGTTATATGCCTTACAAAGGTTCAGGTGTATCGAGAAAAAAATCCAAACAAAACAGGTCCTGTTCGTTTCTTCTTCTTCAAAATAATATTTAATTAAAATCGAAGTGAGATCTTTAGGCCTATCCTAATCTTTAAAAAAATAAAGATTACTTCATTATTTTCGTTAAAAAGTGAAATATTTTAAAGTCTCTAGACTACTAAGTTACCACTGTCTTTTCCATGTGTGAATGTTATGTGGGATTGTAGGTCTTGGTGGTGGTAGCTTTTAGTATTTGGTAATTTGTTCTGTGCTTGATAAATAACAGATCAAGGTGTGTTGGGTTTTGGAGTAGTTTGAGATTGTATAGATTTCTAGCCCTCACATAGATTCTATACAGATCTAGAATCTAGATCAGATCTATGTAGGCCTAATATTAAACTAATATCATCAGATCTATTTTTGTCCAGGTATCATCTTTCTGAGTTTTCATTTTCATTTCTTTTTTGTTGATTTATATTAAGGCTCTAGATTCTAGATCTAGCTAGATCTAGAATCTAGATCTATGTACATTTAATGTCATGGACTTGAAATTTTTACAAATCGAGACACCGAATGTAGTTTTGCAAGCTTGTTTTGTTAATATTTTTGTAGGCGGGGTCAATGTTTGTCGCCAATGATCTTTTCTGATCGTTGTTGCACCCCAGTTGTGATTTGTAGTTCAGCCTGATTTTTACAGTTTATATCTAGATTTTCTAGATCTACATTCATTTTCAAAAAAGGCCTTTCTAGATCTATTTAATTTTTTAAAAAATGACAAGTTTAGAGTTAATAATCCTTCAAAAGACAAAAGTTTGGAAGCGAATGTCAAAATTTCTAGACCGTTTTATTACAAAAGAAACAAATTAAAAATGCACTTGCTATTTTTGTAAAAAAATTTTTTTTGTCTTTCTCTTCTTTGTTCTATTTTCTTTCAGAGACAGTGTATAATAGATCGAATTTAATTTAATGTTGCTCAAATATTTTCAAATCTTGTTACCTGGAGAAATAAAGGGGTTTATGGGTTGACACTTTACGTGATATAATTGGGGAAGGGTTAAAAATTATCAATATTATTTTTACTAAAGACGTTTTAGAATTAAAACTGAACAATTTTTATTCAATGTTGAAAGATAAATATAATGAACATTAATCTGCTTTGTTATTTATTTTTTTTAAAAACTTGGATAGATTCTCCCCAATTTTTTCACTTGAGTAGATTCCAAATTTTTAGAACACTATTGAAAACAGTCCATCCTATTGTTGTTCTTTACTGTGACTGTTTTTTTTTGGTGTTTTTTTGTTTTTGTTTTTCTCTTTGTGTTACTGTACTCCTTTTCTGTCTTCATGCTTTCTTCTATTCCCCTCACTTTAATGCCCCCTCATGTGTGCGGTTGGTTAAAAGACACCACTGGTAGGTCCTCCTTCTTTACTTTCCCTGCTGGTGGTTGGCGGGTGCTGTGGTGAGGCTTGCTCCTTCTTTCCTATCAAACATCTATCGTCCTTATCTCCCCTCCTTCTATTTTGTTTGTTACTCTCTTGTAACACCTCTAATCTTCTGGCGCTCATGTAACCTTATGGAGTTACGAGCGCCGTAAAACCTCTACTAAAACATGAAAACATTACTTTCCCTCTGTTCTTTCTGTCTGCTTGTCTTATTTTTTCCCAGCACTAAATAACCATTATTGTGTTGGCATGCTTCTCTTTACTCAAACAAACAAACCCCCGCGTGTATGCACAGCGGTTTAAGGCACTCCCTCCTCTGTTGCACACAGAAAATGCTAGTTCGGTATAGGGAGGGTTTTTAAATGAGTATCACTGTTTGTCTACTGCGATTATTGTATCCCGGTCAGCCTTGATTATGATTGACTCTGACAAACAGGGTGGAAGCAGCCTGCTTCGTAGATGATTTGAATTGTTACTATTGTATTGATGGGAAAGACATATCAGCTATTATTATTATTATAACACTCTCCTTCTTGAATTTCTTCCTGGCTCTGTTGGTGGAGTAAACCATTTTGTGTGTCTGTGATTTTATCCTGCATTTGAAGATGTTTTGATGGGCTTGTGATCTGTTTCCTGAAGCGCCCTGTCAGTGTTGTTTTATCTATTCTCTGTCAAACATAACTGTTGTTGTGCTGAATCATCATGAGCTGCAGGTAAAAAATTGAGGTGCCTGCTTCTTAGGTGCACTTGCAGTGTTAATAGTAGTTCCCTAAACCTTTTATCAGTGCTCTATATCTGTCTACTTGACTGCTGGGAGTTTTCTTGGGTTTTTGTTTGTTTGTTTGCTGTTTTAAAAAAAAATCATCCTATCTGACATTGAATTGTGAATAATATAACAATAGTACTTCCAGGTTCTTGCACTATAGTACAGGTCCATTTATTTTTCTTTTTCTATTTGCCTGTCTTTCTCTTTCAATCTCTCTCCTCGTCTCTGCCCCACCCTCCCCATGCCTAGATATAAACACTATATGTCTCATTATACACATGCTGCATGGAGACACTGTATTCCATCCGCTCCGCTCTGATGATATTTTTGCTTTATCGGTTGTGCAGGGAAACATAGGACTGGGAAGTTGGTGAAATTTGAGTAGGAATAATGCCATTTTAAATGCGTTCTGAATCAATGATAAAATTTTCCCTGTTGTCAATGAAATGTTGTTCAAACACCACAGGTAAAATTACAGATCCGTTTTTCGCTCTCGTATTCTGTTGACTGTTATCTGGTTGGTTTGGGAGAAAAGTGCTGATGGGCTGAGAGAGAGAGAGAGAGAGAGAGAGAGAGAGAGAGAGAGAGAGAGAGAGAGAGAGAGAGAGAGAGAGAGGGGGGGGAAGGAACACACAGAGAGAAAGAGAAATAAAGAAATTTAAAAAAGGGAAAGGAGAAGGTGTATACTTTAACTGGAGGGGCTACAGCAGCGAGGAAAAATGGAAATAAGAACAAAGGCCCATCAAAGATTTATTGGAAGCAGGTATCGATTGGGCCGGGAGCCTTGATGTCATAGATTCCTACCATTGTGGCGTTCTGGGTCTCCATGGCAACCAAATACGACGTCCAAGACGGGATCGCGGGGAAGAAGTGGTGAAGAAGCGGGAGGGGAGGGTGGGGGGAGGACGAAGGTGAGGGAGGAGAGGGATCCCCTGCCACTTGATCGGACGAAATTGATTTGGGTCCGCGGCCGCACCAGACGGAGGATTATGGTTACGCTCGAGAAGAGAAAGGGTAGGTCCTCCTTCTTTACTTTCCCTGCTGGTGGTTGGCGGGTGCTCTGGTGTGGTTTGCTCTGTCTTTCCTATCAAACATCTATCGTCCTTATCTCCCCTCCTTCTCTTTTGTTTGTTACTCTCTTGTAACACCTCTAATCTTCCGGCGCTCATGTAACCTTATGGAGTTACGAGCGCCGTAAAACCTCTACTAAAACATGAAAACATTACTTTCCCTCTGTTCTTTCTGTCTGCTTGTCTTATTTTTTCCCAGCACTAAATAACCATTATTGTGTTGGCATGCTTCTCTTTACTCAAACAAACAAACCCCCGTGTGTATGCACAGCGGTTTAAGGCACTCCCTCCTCTGTTGCACACAGAAAATGCTAGTTCGGTATAGGGAGGGTTTTTAAATGAGTATCACTGTTTGTCTACTGCGATTATTGTATCCCGGTCAGCCTTGATTATGATTGACTCTGACAAACAGGGTGGAAGCAGCCTGCTTCGTAGATGATTTGAATTGTTACTATTGTATTGATGGGAAAGACATATCAGCTATTATTATTATTATAACACTCTCCTTCTTGAATTTCTTCCTGGCTCTGTTGGTGGAGTAAACCATTTTGTGTGTCTGTGATTTTATCCTGCATTTGAAGATGTTTTGATGGGCTTGTGATCTGTTTCCTGAAGCGCCCTGTCAGTGTTGTTTTATCTATTCTCTGTCAAACATAACTGTTGTTGTGCTGAATCATCATGAGCTGCAGGTAAAAAATTGAGGTGCCTGCTTCTTAGGTGCACTTGCAGTGTTAATAGTAGTTCCCTAAACCTTTTATCAGTGCTCTATATCTGTCTACTTGACTGCTGGGAGTTTTCTTGGGTTTTTGTTTGTTTGTTTGCTGTTTTAAAAAAAAATCATCCTATCTGACATTGAATTGTGAATAATATAACAATAGTACTTCCAGGTTCTTGCACTATAGTACAGGTCCATTTATTTTTCTTTTTCTATTTGCCTGTCTTTCTCTTTCAATCTCTCTCCTCGTCTCTGCCCCACCCTCCCCATGCCTAGATATAAACACTATATGTCTCATTATACACATGCTGCATGGAGACACTGTATTCCATCCGCTCCGCTCTGATGATATTTTTGCTTTATCGGTTGTGCAGGGAAACATAGGACTGGGAAGTTGGTGAAATTTGAGTAGGAATAATGCCATTTTAAATGCGTTCTGAATCAATGATAAAATTTTCCCTGTTGTCAATGAAATGTTGTTCAAACACCACAGGTAAAATTACAGATCCGTTTTTCGCTCTCGTATTCTGTTGACTGTTATCTGGTTGGTTTGGGAGAAAAGTGCTGATGGGCTGAGAGAGAGAGAGAGAGAGAGAGAGAG